GAAACTTTACAGATATATGTAAAAACAGTAGCTGAACAAATGTTATTAAGAGTCAAGAGGTTGTTAACTTAATAAAAGTTTCTGTAAATTGAGAAAAACGTGAAAATTGTTGTGACGAAATTTTGTGTACAGATGATAAGCAGAAAGAGTTGTTAAATCCTATTCTACAAACTTTATTTAATATACAAAAACAATTAACTTAGTAAAATTTTTTTAAATATTAAATATAAAAAAAATTTACCATCAAGATCATATAAAAAATAATATATATACCCTCTACCTTTAATAAGCTGGACAAAATTATAAAAATTTCTTGTAAAATATTGTTAGTAGAGTTTTTATAAAAATGTATATATATTTCTAATAAAATAAAAACCAAGCTATCAGGCTATTTTAAATTTTATAATATGAATTAATTTATATGGCTTTATATATCTATCTAATTAATATGAATTGGTTTGACAATTTTATATTCTCTTTAGTATTGATCATTTACAATAAATGCTTATATATTGTATTTTGAGGGAAAAATGTCTAATCGCAAATGAGGACATCCAAAAAATATAATTTCAGAATTTTTATTGAAGTTTCTGAGTTAGATGGAAATCCAAAATATTGGAATTCATCAAATAAGGAAATGGCCTGTACTTTTTGTTTAAAAGAGAATGAGGGTTTTTTTGCAAGTTTAAGTCGTGAAAAAGAAATTGTTTTAGGAAAACCATGATATTATACTCAGCATATTTTATTCTGTTCAAATGTTCCTAGTGAGTTAAAACAGGAATTAATATCAGTACCTATAAGTGAGAATATTGACTCAGATCATGTTGATAATAGTACTTCAAAAAATATGCATTTAAGCAAACATTCTAAAATTAAGAATTCTGCTGAAGAACAACTTGATGTTGAAATTTCTAAATACCTTTTAAAGCACCCAATGGATAATTGGATTAAAGAGTTTCAAAAGAAACTTCTTTTAATAACTATTGCTAATGGATGGTCATTCAGATGGATAGAGTGTAATGAAGTACTAGATCTTTTGTATCATCTTAACTCTGCACTTCAACTCAAGCCTAGTGCTATACCATCCCGTCTAATATTAGGTGGCATGCTTTTTAATAATGCTGCAAATGAACTTCAAGACAAAACATTAAAAAATTTGAAAGATGCTAAATCTATTATATTGACATTTGATGGCTGGAAGAATATTGTGAAGAAAAATATTCTTGGAATTACTTGTGTAACAGAGAATGGAGATGTGATAATATATGATGCACAAAATATTTCTAATAAATGTAGCTCTATAGAGGCCACAATAAATTAACAAAAAATTTATTATTAGAGGATAGGCTAAAAGAAATTAACATAGCTGCAATAGTTACAGATTTATTAAGTAGATATACTGCTGCATATCATAGATTAAGAAGAGAAATGCTGATGAAAATTTGGTTGTCTTGTTTTGTCCACTAGGTTAACCTTTGTATCGCTGATTTTTTTAAATCATCTCCAACTATTTTTTCTATAGTCAAACAAGCTGTAGCCATCACTTCTTTTTTTAATAAATCATCTTTTTTTACAACACTTCTCAAAAATACATGTAAAGATCTTGGTATTTCTTTTTTGGCATTAACCAGTCCTTGTGAAACCCATTGGTATTCATATTTTAGTTGCATTAGAGCTATTTTAAAAGCAGAATATGCTTTATGGGTATTTATTTATTCATTTTATTTATATTTGTATTTGTTAAAATTAATAGTTTAACTAAATTAATATTTAAAATAAATTAATGCTTGAGAAATAATATGCTTATAATTCTTATTATTTATTTTAATAAAGCCTTTCAGTAATCCATGGTGTTAATGTTCGAATTCATGATAAGAAGGCTTTACTCTTTTCTCAAAACATTACAAATATTTTAGATGATCGCAAGTTCTTTAATTATCTTCATATATTAAAAACAATTATGAAACCCTTTGTAGAAGCTATTGCACTGCTTGAAAAAAATAATACCTGCCTTTATCATATTCTTATTTGCTTTGAACATTTTAGTCAAATATTTACAATTGATAAAAATGATGATCAGGAAATTCAAGATCTCAAATCATTAATGACAGATTGTCTTGAAAAATATTAAAAAGATTAGGAACAACCTCTTCTTATTTTAGCATATTTTTTGAACCCTGATCTTCAGTTTGACAAGTTGAATTTGAAAGCAACTAATTTTTCCTTTGTAAAATTATGTAAATATGCTCAGAAATATTATGAAATGTGGACAGGAAATGAACCAAAAGATCTTGCTAGTGAAATGACAAATTATCAAAACAAAATATTTCCATTTGATGATAGTCAAACCAGACAATTTAAGAATAAGCTGTATTAATTTTGGGAATATGTTGATGAAGAAGTACCTGAAATTGCATTTATTAGTAAACAAATATTTTCTATTGTAATCAATTCTGCAAGTGTTGAATGATTATTTAGTAATATGAGTTTTATTCACTCAAAACATCGAAATCGACTCAGTGAAAAAAAGTAATAAAAATACAACTTCGAGCTAATCAATGAAAAAAATATATGCAAAAACAAGATCAAGTATGTAAACAAAGCAATAACTTAAATATAAATAGTAATAAAGTTATTCAGGTTGAGGAAAGTAGTTCTGATAAAGAAGTAGTTCTGAAGAAATTGTAAATGAATTAGATTATACACAAGCTATTGATGAATGGTTTGTGCAATTAGATAATGAAGCATTTGATAAAATGTATCAAGAGGAAGAAATAGATAGTTTTTATGATACTACAACTTTACACCCAGCTGATGATCCTAAAGTGAAATAGAAATTAAGTACTCTTTTTTCTTCTTCATTTTCATCTTTATCAAATATTTAACTGCAATATAATGTAATTAATTAATTCTTTGATAAATGAAAAATTTTTTATTGTAATAAGTTAGTATTAGAAATCTATATAATTAAAAAATAAAATATTTTTAAGTTGCTGCTTTATTATATAGAAAGAATTTGTGTTTTATAATTTAAAAATTTTAAACAGATTAAATCATCGATTTTTTTATTATAGGTATGTACATTTATACTTTATTAAAGTTATACATTTAATACTTAAATTAATTTTATTTAAAACTAAATTTATATATTTATAGTCTTTATATTTAATACTATATTTTGGTAATAAAACTTGGCTATATTCGTTTGTGAAAGAAATTTTAATATTCAATAGTAATATATATTTATTTGAACACATATATATAATATGGATCTTGTGAATTTGTAATTTAGTTGATCCTCTATAAGTGCATATTGTTGCAGTTGTAGAATATGCATTTATAGAGTGATCTATATAGAGATACATATTTTGTATTTGACTATTTAAATGATATATACTATAAAAAAAGTACATTTATAAAAAAATATTTTTTGAGATTGATTATATATAATAATAAATATATAAATTAATAAATTAATTTATATAAGTTCTTTAATTAATTTAGGATAATTTAGGAAATGATTTAGAATTTTAAGACATCCGAAAATAAGTTTAAAAATTTAAATTGTCTGAAAACCAACCTTAAAGCCCATGACTCAAGCCAGCGACTCAAGCCTAAAGTATCTCTGCTCTGACGCATATAGAATGTAGTCATAATTATTAATTTCTAATCAACGTAAATATTGTATGATAGTAGTTAAATTGCTCAAGCGCATGAATTATGTAGTCATAAATAATAAAAGACGTAATTAGTAATTGCATAGTAATAGTCAAAAAAAGAGATAAAAAGAAATTACAAACCTTTTTTGTAATAACTAGTCTGTTCAATGCCAATAAACGTCTCTGCTCCTTAGTACTAAAACCCGTTTGTGACACCCACTCTATTTGCTCTATTGTTAATAAATATTGATTCAGAACTAGCTGTGTAGTGAGCAGCAAAGCAACTCTTGAGAATAAGGGAGCACCATTCACTAACCAATCTATAACTACCAAAAGAGGTCCTATTTGGTATTTTCAATAGTTTAATGCCTCTATAATTTGCATTTTTCTAACTACTGTCAACCTGTTTGAAGAATCTGCTAATCTTATAGTCTCTACATGTTTTTTTATAGGGCCTAAGCATAGTCAATTGTCATTCTTGAGTTTACCAAAGGCCTTTGAACTTATAGAGAAGCAATTAGAGACAATATGACTAATTTCTCTACAGTTGAAACATCTAACCGATCCCTGGTGTCTTGGCCCACCATATTCTCTTTTACTATGAAAGAAATTAACCCTTCTTTCTTTTCTCTATTCTTGCTGTAAAAATCATCTTCAGAATCAGAAGAACTTGATAATAGGTGGTCTTTATCTCACTTCCACTTATTTTAGTTATACTTGAACCTGTTACTATATTTTACCTACTAAAACAAGACTCTGACCATGGCTGACTAAAAACTGGAATCCTGTCCTTATACTTATCCATCATCTTATCACCATTCTCAACTATTTGCAAAGCAGCCCTCCCTTGTTATTGGCAAATCTTAGAGTAACTGCACAAGCATCTATTTTCTCTCTGATCCCAATTAACTCTTTTCTGTCAGGTACTGAAAGCACCTTAATTACTCTATCAAGATGTTTGCCAACTTTGGCTAAAAAAAACATATTCATGCTGGTCTCGTGGCTTGATAATTTAATACCCAGCCAAGCCTCGTCCAACAATTCTTCTTCCTCCAACTCCTTGTGCAAAGCTAATAAGCTTTTATCCATCTTCTTCTCCTTTCCCTGAAAGCACGCAACCAATTCCTCCCTAATTCTACAATCAGCTTCCTGAGAACCTTCTTCTAAATCATCACCTTCTAGGTCAATTACTGGCACCATATCATCCGCAAAGACTCTCCTATTAAACTCATCCCCTCTTCCTTCAGTAAACTCCCCCAAATCAGCATTATTACCTGGAAGTACCTCCGACAACTTCCCTTTTTTCTTTTCAAAATAACCTTGTAACCTTTCGCCTAACTCTTCCTTGTTGCCACCAGTGGAAAGGCCGCATGTTGTGCATAGGTCTTGAAGTTCTTTGACAGTCAATTTTGTCCAGCTAACAAAAGACATTGCTGCAAGTCTCAGTTCAACGTTATGAATCACTTATATAATAACACAGCGCCTAACTTATTACTAATTTTGTTATTTATTCAAGGATTTATTTAAAGATTTATTAAAAGATTTATTTAAAGATTTATTAACGAATCAGGTACAAATAACGACGGAGCCAGCCCTAACTACTGGGCGAGCAATAGCGAACAGAAAGATAACGACATCTACCAAAGCAATTAACACTTAAATATATCATCCCAAATTGATTATCAACCCTCCCTGACCTACGCCGCAATTCACATGTGAGACTCCTTTATCATTCCCATAGCTTACAAACCATGGATAACCAAAACGAATATTCATATGACAACCAGTATTATTCTTAAAATACCTGAATCCAACTAGAAGATACGTACATACATGCAAAAAAAATAAAAACACACTTACTCCGTAAAAGGATACACATATAATGCAAATGATCTGCTAAGTCATCTGTTCTCGCAATAATGATCGCTTCGTCACTTCGTTGACAAGCTTCTCAAATTATATGATTGGTTGATTTGTGATTGATGATTACGAATAGAATTATTAGTAATTCCATATAATAACATTTCTTTTTTTCATTTATTTCTAAATGTGTATAAGATTTTAGTACAATTCTATTTTCATAGCAGTAACCAACATATTTCTTTGTAGATATTTAATCATTTATTCTATTATGGAAATTGAAGATGACTTAGTGGCTTAAATGCATGAGAATCAGATGAAGCACGTAAACCTCGAAAAATCCGCGTATACGTGGTTACACTGAAACTGTGCCTTGAGATCTTTCAATGTCTGCGTTGTTTTTTCGGTGTATACCTTCAAATTTTCACGTAAACCTTGAAATTTGGGTGTAAACCTTGAAATTTCGATGTTTACGTGATGAAAAGATAAAATGTATATAAAGACCATGAATTCAATAAACGAAAGGACAGTTGCTTGTCCAGTTTTCAATTGCCATTAAATAGTAAAGCATATACTTATCGGAATTTTTTCCTTGAAACTTGGTTGTTGAATTCGATTTGTAACTTTAATAAACCCTTTCGAGACTCAATTCGACGGATTGAATTGCTTGTAACTTCGATTTGGGTTATTAAGACTTGAATTCTGGTATACCTGTGGAATCAAATATTGCCATTCACGTTAGTGACTTGCGGGAATTGTGGTAGTTAGCACCACCTACGTCTGGTTATTTACTCTTGTTAATACATCACGTGAACTCAAAGTAATCACCGATATCACTTGATCGTCGTCCGCTTTACGTCATCCTAATGTTGTTAGGCGAAACCATTTTGGGCAAATGGCGAAAGACGAAACCTAAACCCGGCGAAAGACGAAAGACGAA